GATTATAATGGTGTAACTTGTTAAAATAAAAATATATTTTTTAAACATGTTTTAATTGATATACGATTATGTATGTTAATTTGATAAAGATTTAAAATGAAACATTTAAAAGTAAAGAACGTAAAATAAATTAATTAATTAATTATAGGGGTATAAAGTGTAAATTTAAAATTATAATTTAAAAAAAAATCGGTTGCGAGGGGGTGAGTGTATATGAGGAGAGGAGGGGGTGAAAAAGTGAAAATGTGAAAAAGTGAGTATAAAGGGTATTTTGGTCATTTAGAATTTTAAGACTTTAAAACTTTTACTAAATTTGCTTAATAAGATAGTATAGATAATTAAGTATTATGTTAGAACTCAATGATTATATTTTAGATTTTTTATATTTAAAATTAGATATTTATCCTTTATTTGATTATGTTTATCTATAGTTAGTTACATAAATTCAAACATGAAACTTTAGTAAATTGTACTTACGCATAATTTACTTGTAATTTTGAATTTTAAGTAATATGCATCAAAAATAATTTTTAAGAGTTTTTATCAAATGTTTTATAATATAGTATAGATAATATTCTAACCAATTACAACTAAGTTAGAGAAATTTGAATAAGAAAAACGACCGTTTAATGATTCAATTTTTGATACTAAGAATTCTTCATCAATATTAAAGTATATATATACTCTCGTCTCTGTTCACGAGCAAGATTCATTTTTTTTTTTATGATAGATGGTCTAATTTATGTTAGATTATGGATTTTTATAATTTGTTAAGAGGAAAAAAATGTATTTATGGTCTTTAATAATATGAATAAAACAAATTTGAGAGAAGCAGCCGACTTGAAAGGTGCTCTTAGTGTACCGCCATACGCACCCAGACATTAGACCAAACTGCTGTTAAATCTAGACAAAAAAAAGATAGATAAGACACATGGGTCCTACTCTCTTGGAAACAAACTTCGTCTCTACCACCTACATGATATGAACATCTAAGAAGATAAAATAAACTTACAATTAATTTTCTTTAACAAGATATGTTTTTAGATGTTCAATTAAAAGCTAAATATTTTACCCAAATGCTTATCTGGTAAGTGTTTATCTATAGGAGTCAACACTATAATTTATTTTGATGAGTAAGATTTTAGTACATCAAAACATATTGAATGCAACAATTTACTGGGTAAGAGTCGTTATCTTCACTTACCGGGTAAGACTCTCCATCATTCTCATCACTCTTGCCCGGTAAGATCTTGACACTTGTCATGTTCATCCGATAAGGAAATTTATACAGTAAGCACCCACCAAGTAAGCATTTAGTAAACGACCACTTAATCTAAATGATCGAACATTTCTATTCAAAATTGTATCAAATAATTTAAAAAAAAAAATAATTGATATTTTGCATTAAATAAATCTTGTTTTGGATTTGATGTACATAAGGGGTCGAATTTTGACTGTTAAAACAAAGTGAAAAGGACGATACGGTTTTCAACCGGACTTGAACCGATATGATCGACCCGAAGACCCGAAAGCGTACGACGCGTCTCGATGCAGCCCCAATTTTCTGATATGGGGATTTTCCCATCCAGAATCATCAGCGGACAACCAGTTCTGCCGGCGTGCTTTTCCGGCTTGTTCCGGCCGTATAGTTTTCATATTGATTCCACAAATTAGTGTCGTTTATCTCGATCGACGAATTCGTGGTGTAATCATGACCGTTTCCGAAGACGAAGACGAACATCTGGCTCACTTTTTAGAGTCCGAGGTTCTTTCGGAGATCTCCGATCAGGTAAGACGTATTTCGTTTGTTCAAGATGACCGATTGGATTTTTTAATCTCGTTATGTAGAATTAAGCCTTTTATGTATCTGTGTGTGAATTGATATATTATATGAATAATATTGGTTGATTATGTGAAACTTGGGGCTAAAATTGGATGTTGGTGTGAGATTCAGGAGGATGCAAGATCCAATGAAGAGGATGTGCGGCAGCCGAAGAGGCTTCGGGTGGAGCAAAATGTTGGCGTGAGTAACAGAGGAATAACTCCAAGGAGGATAGATGATGGTTTCTTTAGCAGGATTCCTCCCGAGCTCTTCCCACACATCCTTAAGTTTCTCTCCTCTGAGGTGGTGCTACTGTTAATTACTCTCTCTAATGGTCCAGATTTAACTTTGAGAGTAGAACAGGCTATTTTTAAAATACAAGTTGATGTAAATCTATTTGATTTATGCTATAAACTTGCATTAAACAATACAGGAAGCAGCTCAAATTGATAAAAGTAGGTGTTAAAAGCATGTAAGATTGATATGGACTTTGAATTGGATGATGTACCCAGTCAAGTCTGACACTCAAACAGAAGGGATATTTACTAGTTATTATGTCACTGGCAGAGTGTGTTTGTTAGTTCTGGTTTCTTTTCTTTCTTCTGATGATGATTTGTGATACGGCAGGATCTTGTTGCATGCTCATTGGTCTGTAGATTCCTAAATTTTGCATCTTCCGATGAATCCTTGTGGCGTCGCCTGTGAGTAATTCTTTATCATATCTCCAACTACATAAACAACGGTGTATTATTTAAAAATCTTTATTATTGTTGCTGTTGCTTCTTTTTTGTTCTTGTGTTGCTATAAGCTGATGGAGAGAAATGAATTGTATATCAGAGAGTTTCTGGCTTATCATCATCTAGCACCTCTATGACAAGGTGTTATTGTCTTCTGGAACTTGTTGATTTTGTTTCACAAGATGGAGATTATGCATTTCGACTGTTATTTTCCTTGAAAGCTCCCAGAACTGGGTTTTCTGGTTTTATGTTAGTTGTCTTCATATAACGTGTGGGAGACTAGAATTTTCAAGCTGCATGGAATTGTTAGTATTTTTTTGTTTTGTTGGTCAAATCTGTTGTTTTGTATAGTCCCGTTTCTAGCACAAGAGGGGGGAGATGGAGAGTGCTATTGTTCTGCAGGCCTTAGAAGATGCTCATTCTGAAAAAGGAACATATTCTTGAATGGACTTCAGGAAAATTTGATAGATTGTACATAAAGTGGCACATTGGCCTGTTTCTTATATATTAGCTTAAAGAACTCTCTTCCCTGGTTCACTTATGAAATAAAATAACATACCTGGCTAAGTACTGAATGTAGAGATGTATGAGTTTTATTTGCATGTCTTTACAGGAAAAGACATTATAATCCCGACACTGTTCACTAACTGTAGGTACTGTATGCGGTGGGGTATCCTGCCACCAACAAAAAAGTTGCGTGATCGTGCATGGAAGAAGCTGTATATCCAGGTAAATTAACCAATAAATCAACAATTGTATATTTGCTTGCCTGGTCCCGTAATAGATTAAATGCTCAAGCATAAGTTTAAGACCAGATTTTAGATCACAAGTTACTATTCTTCATCCCACAAAAGAGTCTACTTGGCAACGTATCTTTGCCTTAACTTAAAAGGTCCTATTTTAAAATCTATCATCAAGACAAATTTGTAATTTGTATGAGCTCTCATTATCTGCGGATTAATGTAGGTTTTGTTCATGTTTTGTGTATATAAGGGTAAAAGCTTTTGGAATCTTACATTTAAATTCTTTAGAAATTAGCTCTATTTTCTGGACAAAAGCAGTATTGTGTATGCTAGAATTTAAGTTTATTTTTTCTGTCAAACATCTTAAAAAGTTGCGTTTTATAGTTTTTGTAGAGTTCATAGAAAGAACTGAGCTATTATTTGTGGAATTCAATGAAAAACATGTTTCCAGTGATGGTTATCTCAATATCTTAAATTGATTATCATGGTAATAATTTTCATCAACAAAAGTGTTAATTTCATCTGAGACAAAACCAAAATGCATTAGTCTGATTTTTATTTGGGACAGAGGGCAGTAGATTGCAATCATCACCACTTCTGTCAGCACAGCATTGCAAATATTTTGATTAGTTTTTGATTTGGTACCTACCAAAGTTCAGTTGTAAAATTTTAGAGCTACTTCCCTCAACAATGTACTTTGATGTTGAAACATTTCTGTTGATTCTGCTTAGCCACGTCTTCTGGTTATCGTGATCCATAATAAGTTCTATACCTAAGAAACAAATTTTCGGTTGTGTAGCGTGATGAAGAAGACATGGTTGAGTTTGTTAGGAATTGCCCCAATGAGTTCAAAGAGTACTACATCCAAATGCAAGTAGCGAAGAGAAGCCAAGCACCTCTTCCTTCTCAGGTGAATACAGTTCATTGCAATTTCATTTGATGTGCCACTGTGCCTTTATGCATGCATGTTAGGCTTACATATGCACAGTTGAAAAGGGGGGTAGATGCAGCTGCATGCATGGATATTCATGTGTGTAGAACTATTCTATGATCAAGCAGATTGATCTTTTTGTACTAGATTCTATTACAAGGCTCTTTAGGAGTTAATTGGCATGAATAGGTTGAATCTCCTTTACCTTCTGCTACAAAGAAAAGGTGACTATCTATTTAACTATTGTTCATTACATTTCTCACCTGTGCATTTGTAGTTGAAAGATGACTGGATGATTCTGGACAAGTCTGTTGCCGATCAAGTTTCCATATGGAAGAGCAACAAAGGACTGACTGATAAAGTGTTCTCGGATCATGCTTGTTCTGGAGACACTTGTTCTTACTATCAAATTGGAGATGTTTTTGTTTGTGAGAATACTGGATACGTTCATGGTACAAATCACGTTTTGCATATTCTGGCCTTAATTTGCTGTTCAAAACATTCAAATGCATGGATACTTGGCAAATGGAGTTTAAGAGCATTGGTGTTATTACTTGTGCAGTGTGTGATGATACTTGCAAGGAGGTTGTTCTTGATCCAGAAAATGAGCTCTTGGTGTGTACAATTTCGGGCCATTGTTTCGATCGTTTGCTTTCCCCGTCGGAAATTGGAGGAGATATGGTAAGTTGCATTTATCTTGTTGTATTGCCTTGCATTAAAGAGGTTTGAAATGCTTTCTTCTTTGGAAGATATAAAAAGGTGCATAACATGTTCACCACCAACATTATTCATTCCTTAGGTGGAAGACTGGAATCAAATTAGTTCCTGGTTCCTGTTCACATGGAAAACTTATGCAAAAATGTTGAAAGTTATCAAGTAGATACACTAGAGATATGTTATGTGTAGTTGGAGTTAAGTATTTAGCTCTAAGAGTTTAGTATGGCTCAGATTTTTGGTTGTTAACCTGCTTTCTTCTCTATTTATTCCCAATTTTTTTTTAATGCTGCAGACATATTTTTATAGTCATCTTATTTCATCATATCAAGTGCTCGTCAGTTGTGCTATCCATGCATCTACTAGCCTGCCTTGAAGGATTCTTAAATCTTGATTGTTCACAATGATATGCAACATTCTTGTACCTAACATTTTCTGCAATCGTCTTGATTGCTCACACAAGCCTTAGATATTGTGTAGCAGCACCTAGAAGCTCTGTGCCCCTAGAATATTGTTAGTTTCTTGTATCTAGAATTCCCTTGAGGATGTGGGGACTTCCATGTAAATGAGAGGTCCCCATTTGGAAAGCATCTAAAAAAATTAATCTTAGAGAATTATCAAAGAACACTCTACAAAAATATAAATCCCTTAGAATTGTTTTGTTTTCTTCTTCAGTCCGTTAGTAAGCAGTTCACACAAACTTAACATCCTCGTATGTTCATATGGTTGATTAAGGCAAAGACACCATTCCCATGACAATGGGCATCAGAACACATGGCTGATGCTAAACCAAAATATTGCCAGTGGAAAGAAAGACAATTGAATAATTGCTTCTACAAGCAACTCATGAACCACCTGTTTCTACTATGATTCAAGTGGAGCATAACACCTAGGCCTCACAAGGGTCATGCTAGTCACCTTGGATGCTAGGATGGCACGAGTACTTGAGTAGAGTGGCTACTAGGAAGGCTATTACTGAGCATCTAGATAGATTAGAATCCAATGATGTTGTTCTCAATAACACCTTGAAGATTACATTAATCTTACTGGTGGACAACCTTGAGACGAACTCCAGATATTGATCGATTTAGCACTTCAGAAAAGAACATGGCAGAATGAAGGTTCACCATGAGGAAGACTGGAAGAGATGTGAGCCATGCAACAAGAAGAGTAACTCAACCCCCGTCCCTGACCACGACCCCCGTTTAAACCCCCCATCCCTGCCCTTGACCGACTAATCCCTGACGGGTTCGGGCCGTTGGGTACCCATTTAGTAAAAAACAATGTATTTTAAAATTAAAATTATAATGGACCATCGCCACATTACTTACCAATATTGAAAATCAAATATGCTTATCATTTAATATTAAATGTATACATATATACATATGTATTTATTTATACACACTATATACATATATTAAATAAAATAAAAAAATTAATCGGGATCGGGTATAAAAATAAATCCTTGTTCCCGCCCCGTTACCTGTCAAATCAGGGAATCCCCGCCCCAACGGGTAAAATTTCCATCTCTAGCTGCTTTCCTCATGCTCCTAGGACTGGGATCCCCAATCTGAAGCCATTTAGCATCTATTATGCGGGGGAGCTCAAGAAATTTTTTAGAGCATGGATCAATATTTCCATGTAACTGCAGTATGTAAGAGGCATCCAATACAACATTCTACCTTGCAGTCATAGCAGCTCTATGGTAGCATCATCAATACTTTTAAGAGATTGGAATATGCATCATAAACACTTACGAGGACTTCAAGAGGGAGAATAAGAGGGACTTTGATCTGGAGAATGACAAGGACGAGGCTGATAGCTAATTTTGAGTTTCAAGCACTTGGGTACTAGTTGGGATGATGTTAAGGAGTTTGCCTCGCTAACTTTTGTTAAAGGTAGATCCCAATGTTGTTCCTGCGGATGATCCAGGTTACTTCAATTCAACCTGTAACGCAACAAATTGAAAGGGATTTGGCCCTTCAATATGCTTCTGATACAAATCTGGAAATCATTAAGTCTAATGGGAATAAAGCAAGGGAGTGAAAAGTTTATTCTAGAAGGGCTAAAAGGGCAATTGTGGAAAGTGGCTAGAAAGTTAGTTAGAGAATAGCCTCTTTAAAAGGGAAGGGAATGGAGTACTATGATATCAGGTTATTTGCATTTTTCTGTTGTATTGGCTCTTTGCATCATGCATTGAGAGAGGGATTCTCCCTGGAACTTTTCTGTAATTCTGTTTCATCATTAATTCACTCAGCTTCCTTCTTCCCTAAATTCCCTGTTACATTTCTACTAAATTTCCTTTTTCCATCAGCTTCCTACAAGATAGTGAACCCCAACTGAAGAAGATGAAACCTGGTTTAGAGAGAGAATAGGCATATGTAGTAATATAGTGTTAGAAGTACTTTAACAGTTGTTTTTTTGTTAGTTGACGTTCATAAACCCCGTTCTAGAGTTAGTTAGGGGCCTAGTGAGCAGTTTTGTTATTTATAGAAGCTGTTGCTCGTTACATCCACCTGGAGTTAGTTGCTGATGATGTGCTTTGTGTCCTTAATTACTTTATGAAGGTTTGTTATTCTATCCCAACACCTTTCATTGGGTGTGTTCTTCTACTCTCATTTATTAGCAAGCAATCCAATGTACCATCCTCTCAAATAAGCCAGATCCAAAGGCCATATAGGTGGTTCTGCATTTTGACCTTCGTTTGTTAACAAAATCCAGATGCATGCATACTTCGGTAGTGGAGTTTAAGTGCATTGGTATTATCACTATGCTTGTCCTTTGTCTTGTGTGCGTATGTTGTATTCCTTTTTTTTGGGGGAGGGGGGGTGGTTAAAAACCTTTAGTCTTGTTGCCATGTACAAAAGTGGTTTAACATGCTTTCTTGTTTGGATTAAAGAAAAAAGGTCATGATGTCTTTCACTCAAAATACATTTTCAGATTAACTTATAGCTTATTACTTTGTTGAACACCAAAAAGTTTCAAAACTCAAAAAGTTCAAAAACTCAAATCGAATTGTTCAATCTGAGTTTCAAAACTCAGATTGAACAGCCTTCCCTTGTGTCAAATCTTTATTTTGGGGATGCCATGATAAACCAAAGGTAGTTGCTACTCTGTGCTAGTGATAGTGTAAGTTGGTTTTGAATGTGCAATATTTCTAATTAGATTAAATGAGAAGAATTTGACTCGGTGTTCGGGCCTTGGTGTGTCATCATCACTTGCGAAGGAGATTCCTTGTTGGTCATAGGACTTAGACTTTGCTCAGATCTACCTATTATTTGAGAAGGCAAGCATTGACAATGCATATTTACTTGTGGCTTCACAGTGGCACCTAAGGCTTGAGCTTGACCTCACTGCCACGCAATGCCTTACACCATTTGAATCTTGCATCCAAGTAAAAGTTATGTAATCCCGTTCCATGTAAAAAAGACACCCATTTTTCTTTATGAAACATGAAAATGACATTATAATTTAACCACCTTCGAATTTTTTAAACCAAACTCGCTCAGAAGTAGGATCTGGGAGGGGGTGGGATGCATGTAGATCTAACCTCTATCAAAAGAAGTAGAGTGGCTGTTTCCATGAAGACTCCCCGCACCTTTGAATTTTCTATTCTTTACATCATGAACTTGATGAAGTTTGTCTATTATTCATATATATTTTGAAAAGCTTACTTCTATAGGAACCGAAGGAAATCTCATACACACTGGTTAAGCATATTTTACTTAAGAACGTTAATCCTCTTACTTTTTTGTGTTGAAAATTTAGGAAGAACAGCAGCAAGGTGGTGCAACGGATGAAGCAGAGCCGTTCATGGGATCCGGCCGTTTTGGTACTAATTTCTGTCTATTTTACTCTTACCCTCGGTGTTATATCATTTACTTCTTTCGTCCAAAAAGAAATGTCCACAATGAAAAAAAACACAATTTAGAGTTGTGTAATTATAACACATTATAATTAACTAAATGACCATTTTACCCTTGATAATAGAGGGAGTAATGAATTTTTTCATCCTATAATTAACGGTAGAGTCAGCTCTTAATTTAAGACAAAGTAAAATAAAAAGGTGGACATTTATTTTGGGACGGAGGAAATACATTATAATAATCTCTCATTACATGTATATATTATATTTGTTATAGCGCGGGCTTACCAGTTGGGTTATAACTGTGAAGACGAAAAAGAGCTTGAAGCCTGCCTCAGGTTCTGCTGAAACCCAATTTTTGGTTTTTCCTACATCTCCATTCCCTGCAACCGTAATTTGATATTGTAGCGTTATTAAATAATTATATTCTGTAATCTGTACGATATTTCAAAATCAAAGAAGTGGCAACTAGTTGTCTTACAATATCGTAACCCTTTTGAATTGGTGGGATACGAGGGTACGTTATCTTTATATGTTGGCACCTCCCTAATGCCCACGGGCCTGCCTGTTTGGCTTCACGTCATACTTGCACGTATCTTCGTTCGACCTCCATTTTTCATTTCATTAATTTAGCCTCAACACCGCCATCTTTTTCCCTCTTGGGTGTGTTTAACACAAAACCTTATTGTCCCTTGATTGGTGCGACATTAGACTGGCACAAGACAGGATTTAGTGGGACAAAAATGTTCTATTTTTGGTTCCTAGGTGGAACAAAATTCAGGGAGATGGAACAAGATTGATAAATTACTACTACCAAATGTTAAATTAAAACCTTAAAACCTTTTTGCATTTCTTTCACCCATCTACCCCACTCTTGTTCATCCGGTCATGTCCTGTTTGGTCATGTTTGCATTTCAAATGCACCCTTTAAGTAATGGCAACAGAAGCTCCAATTTTGCGTTCTCTATATATGTTACCAGGGATGATGACTCTCATTTAGGTTGAACCTTTATGCACTTTAGAGTTGCACACGAACAGGTCTAAAAAAAGTCTGGTCTTGTCAAAGCTCGGTCAACACGGTTTGAATTGAGATCTTGCAAGGTAAAGACCGAACACAGACTGATCTGGTCCAGAACGGGTCTGAAGAAAGTCCAGTCTTGGTCTCGCCTGGGCCAAAAAAGGAAATACAAAGGTCACTGTATCTTTGTCTTGTTTTGGTGATGTTGTAATCGATTATTGGAGTCAGGGGTCGACCTACTACAGGGACATGGGGTGCATGGACTGTCATTCAATCATCTCGTCGCAATCTAAAAAAATTAGGGGCTTTAAAGGTGCATCGGGGTGCCCTTAAATAATCGTTTTAGGCCCATCCGATGAATGAACATTTTTCAAAAAATAACGTTTATTTGACTGATTCATGAATCTGTCGTTTTTTGAATTTTAAGTTGTTGATTGTCCAGTAAGCTATCTTTTAGATGACTGATCATTTGTGGCCATTATTTATTTATTTATTATCAATATTTTATCTCAATAATTATGAATATGAAATCTATTTATTCATCAAAATGTCATTATGTTTTTGTAAAGATAGGAATTTTGTGTAAAAAGCCTCAATCTATTTGAAGTTATAAAACTATGTTTGGTTCAAACAGATTGGGGAATAGAAATGAAAATTACAAGGAATGACTTTTAAATCTGGAATGAACTTAAATAATTATCACTTGTACTTACTCGTTCATATAAATGCATAATGTTGTGAACTTCCCTCTAATTAAATCTAGAATTTACTACGTTAAGGTAGTGTTTAGTACGCAGACGTGTTGGATTGGATTGGACTGGACTGGATAGAATCGGACAGGACAAGAGCATGTGACTGGAGAAGAGTAAACGAAACATGACTCGACAGGACAAATGTATGTCTGGTGTTTGGTACGACTAGAACTGAATAAGATATAACCAAACAAGTTATCCTTAAAAGTTATTTGATGATTTTATATATCAAATATTAATTATAATGACACAAATAAAGTAAACATTAAATAATTTAATTTATTACATTTATACATAATTTTCTTTTACATAAATACATACATGTATAATGGTAGCAAATTTGAGTAAACAAATTGATATAATTGATGGTAGACCGAAAAAACTTGTTTTGCACAAAGAAAAAAACTATGTTTTATTCGGTTTAGAAGATTCTTGTTAATTGGCGGAGGCATAGTGAAGATTGTTGCAAGAATAACCATTGTGGAGGTAGAGTAGTGACTGGTGGACGACAATGGTTGTGGAGGACATGAAGATGGTGAATAATGGTGGTGGTGGCGGACGATGGGGATGGAGGAGGTAGTTATGGCCGATATGGTGGAGGTAGTGGTGGTGGTGGGTAGTGGTAGTGGTAGCCAATAATGGTGGTGGTGGTGGCCGATGAAACCTGGTGGTGGTGGTGGTGGTTAACGATACCTAGTAGTTGGGATTGTAGTGGGTGGGTGGACGGTGGTTATAGAGGTAGATGCAGTAGTTGTTATTGGATGGTGGTTGTAGAGGATGTGAAGATCGTAGATAGTGGTGGAGGTAGTTATGGATGATGTTGTTAAGGTAATGGTGAGCAAGTGGTAGTGGTAGCGAACGTGGTGGTGGTGACGGGAGAGGTGGTCGATGGTAGTGGCTAACGATGGTAGTGGTTGTTGGTGGTTGTGGAGGTGGAGGAGGAGATGTAGGTGGTAGATTGTGCTAGTGGTGGTGATGGATAGTGGTAGTCGGTGGTTGTGAAACTGGTAGAGGAGGTCCTTGTGGTGGAAGAAGAGGTGAAGGTGGCCGATGGTGGTCGGCGGTAGCTACCGGTGGTGGTGGTGGTGACTGTCAAAACGAATAACATATTAAGGTTATAGATCAAACAAAGATTGATTAATAATATTTTAGTTTATATCTCATCCTTGTCCCATCTAAATAGGTGGAACAAGCAAAAACCTTTTTAGTCACGAATATGTTAACGAAGTGATTAGCAGGCATAATCGAAAAGCCCAAATTCAGTTTGACGGGTTTAACTTAATTAAGTCGATAATTTTTACCTAATTCATTTGGATACCGTTAATCATTTTTAATGTTTTTTAGGCCAACAATACAACTCATACGATACTTTAGATCTTTGCAACGAACAAATCTACAAAAGAAACTCAAAAGTTTTAACCAAGTTATACAAACTATGCAAGAATGGTACAATTGTCTATCTTTGTCTTTGTGTACAAACGAATTTAAGTATACAATTTACAACATTTTATAGTGACTCACGGGTGTTGCGACTTTATGGGAGAATGGTAGGAACCACTATTTTCCATTGAAAGCAGTTCAGAATGTGATCCTTGCTCTACAACGTTTCCATTTTTTAATCAAATACCAAACGAACACAGAATCCCATTGTTAGAATAAATAATAGATCATCATTTAAAGTACGAGTTAAGCCAAGGCGGCTGAATTATGCTGGCTTTTTCACAGCTATCTTGGAGAGGGACGATGAAATGATCTCCATAGCTTTCGTATGGTTGTTTTCTTTTCTAGCTTCATTCTTATAATCCGTTGAGTTTGGATGTTCTTTTGAATTGTATCCTCACGAACTAGCTTTATTTATGTCTTGATTGTCGCAGGGTTCATGGAAGTAAGCTAGCGGAAATGCCTGTTGTTGGAACCCGTGAAATATATAGGCGTCAAGAGATGTGTCATCACCTTCTAGATTCAATCGAATATGTATGTTTCCACATCTTAATGCCAAGATATGGAGAAAGGCAAGGGAGGTTATGCTCACCGATTTCTTGAGAGATTTCTTTAGAGACTTTCTCAGCCATGGAGAAATTACCATTTGCAAGGTTCTTCATACAACTTAGATTTGGAGGAGTGAAATCGTGGAGACAAAAATGTTTTGTCATCTTCGTTCTTCAAGACAGAGGAATCAATAAAAGATTTTTCAAAAACGAGAGTGAAACTAATCACAAACAGATCATAGAAATGTCTGTCAAAGCGTTCCGAAAAGACGCACAGTGAATGTAGATTATTAATAGAGACAAGTATATAAAGAAGTCGGGATGTCTTGACCAATACCCAACGGTTGCTTTTCAAATTTAGAGACCGTTACTGTTTTCATAAAATACTAATAATAAATTATGACCGTTGCATAACGGTACTAAATATAATTACGAGTTTGAAAAAAAGAATCAATAGTCAAAAAGGTAAACAACTCAATTGACAACTTCAAATAGAGCCGGCTACCCAACGGTTATTTTTCAAATATGGCGTCCGTTATTATTTTCAAAATACTAGTAGTAAATTATGACCGTTGTATCGGTTATAAGCATAATTACTGCTTTGAGAAAAGAATTTTTGGTCAAAAAGTCAAACAAAATAGTAAATGGTTGTGATCACCACTAATCTCGGATTCCTGTTCCAGTAACATTCCCTGCATAACTTGTAACTCCATAAACAAATACTTCCCATCGATATCAGAATCATCGCCATTTGTTACAACAACTTTACGATTCATGCACCATTTCTTGAAATCTTCATCATATAAAGTACCCAACTTTCACATATCAAACAAGAAAACAAAAATAGATTCAAATTCTTTCATTTATTTAAATCTAGTTCTTAACCGAGAGAGTGCCATATGAACTAAAATAAGAAAATAATCACTTCTAAATGTCTTTTGAGCAATTTGTCGTTCTCTCTTGGCATTTGGATTTCATGAAATCGTTTATTCCTTGGAAAAAAAAAACGTTTTATGGCAACTTCTGGCTCAACTCCAATCTTATTTACGATTTATTTAGCTTTATTAATACCACGATCAAACCCAATTTCCATTTTATTCTTCAAAAACTAATCCCTCTTGATCTGCACGACCATATCGATAAGCGTATCTTTAGACTGTAATTTCTAACTAACTAAATTGTTTTTACATAAAACTTTATGTCAAATAATCAAATTTACGATAAGTTCAAAACCTGAAAGTTTATTATTTACGAAAAGATTTGACATCTTTACACACTTTTTCATCATCGCTAACTTGAGCTAATTGCATTAAAGCCTCTTTAATTTGGCCAACTTGAATTTTAATAACTTTAAAAAAAATTATTGCCCGACCCGCCCATTGATTTTAATGGTCTGGCTCAGGCCTGCCTTTTTTTTCAAGAATCATTGTCCGGTCCCACTTTTCTAAACCGCCAGATGACGAGCCAAGTCTAACAGATCGTACAAGTCAGGTCTAACGGATCGTACCGTCCATGAACAACTTTCCTTAAAGTTGAATTCCAAGGTTTTGATATATGATGCAAAATGTATCAAACTTCCCATATATTGTATGACTGATTAACTGTAGAATACATAAGAGTAAACAAACTTGTTACTAACAAGGGATATCTTTGTCATTCAACGTCAAAACCTTACTATTGTCTCTAGTTAACGCCTCCTTCAAAACTTTTTATTGGAAAACCTTTGT